GTAGGAACCAACTCCTTTGTGCCAGAGAGGCAGGTGTGAACCCAGATGGGAGTCATAGAAAGGGTTAAGGTTTAGGCTAAAGGACACAACCAACATCCCTGATATTTTTTCAATGCCTGTTTCACATAGATTTTGATCACTGCTCATACCCCAAACCATATAAGTCCCTAAGCTAGTACACCAAAATGGGGTTTCCTGCTATCAAGTTCCCTCCCACATGGTAGGACTTCTCTCTCTTCTCATCCAAATTAATCATACTTTGTTTATTCTTCTCTTCTGTTATTGTGTATGGATTTTATTTTTTCAATTTGAGAGACAAGAACCCAGAAGGAAAAAGGCAAAGTGTGGAATCTAGTCTCATCTCAAACTCTAGTTTCACTATCACATGTCACTTGCAATTCACTAAACACAGTAGTAGTTATTTGGCTCTTTGTAATTATTATGATTCCCCTCTTCTGGGCATATGGTCATCATTGTCATTCCTCATATGCCTTAAAGTTATGGCTTATTTGAGACAATGAAAAAAATGAAGCATTAGCAAGTGGAAGATGGGATCAAATAAGCTTATTTTGAACAATACCCATCATTCAGTAACCATTGAAAAATATAGAATCATTAGGACTACTGAATAAAGAAGAAATTCTGATAATAATCATAGAAAGATGAAAAAAGGCAATTATAAATAAGTATTTATCTGGCTATGCTCCATATGCTTTGTAGAAAAGCCAGTAACCTGAAAATTTTTCCAAAGTAGTCCTGAAAGTTCCCAGGAAACTCATGCTGTGCTTTACAGTCAAATCTTTTGGCTGCATTGTACCATCTGTGATGGTAATGAACAAAACATTAGGCCCTTCAGTAATGTATGCCAGAGGTATCCATGCCACTATGATTGATATTACTGAATGAAAATGGCAATGTCATATGTCAAGGGCAATGATACCTAAATTAAAAGTCCTACTATTACAGTTAATGCAAATTTCCCTTGACGTTGTCATGGAAGCTCTTTGCACCAATATATCGGTAGTGTGTAACCTCAAAAGTCTCATTTTTGTTTTAATTAATTTTCTTTATTTGCAGTCTTTTTTTTGTCTCTGAGCACATGAGGTCATGATAGATAGACCAAAGTGACAGACAGAAAGAAATGGGACTGTGCTCAGGACAATCCTTACCTTGGTCCTATCCCTCACTACTTCAAATAAACCAATACATCTAAAGGATTCATTCTTCCCTTCAGGTTATTTCTCTGTTACAAGTCTCCTTAGGCCCTTTTGCACACAGAAACTTTAAGTAAAAATACAATTTCTTCAGACTTGTAAGTATTTTAGGGTAATCAGCAAGTAGGCCAACCTAAATATCCCTCCAGAATTACTATGGAAAAGTGCTATTTGTTTTTTATTATACTGACCAGACTTTGGTGGATCAGAATCTAAGAAAGTATCAGATTAAATAGAATGGAACTAGAGTGAAACAGAGTAAAAAGAATTGAATTTTAATTATAATTCACTATAGAATTTCTTTATGAAGCTACCTTCCATTAGCAAAAAAATAACCTAAGATAGGAAAAAAATCATATCCCAATGGAAACTAAAAACCTACAGTTGTTTCTAAAGGATAATAATTGGGTTTTGTTTGTTTGTTTGAATCAATATTGTACAAGGATAGCACCAACCCTTTTGAGACAGCTAACTAATGAATATGTCAGAGACTATGTGTCCCACCAATGTGTTATTTATTTCTTTATTTAGCAATAAAACTTGAGTTTTACCTGGGCACAAATCCTAAAGATTCACATTACTACTAATAAGAAGACATTCCTTCTCCCCTTCTGGATGGTGAGAGCTTAAACAGCCAACACGGATCATTATAGGGAGCAATAAGGAACAAGATACAAAAAACTTAAGTCCCTGACACCATAAAGCTTCTTCATATCTGCTTTGGACTGTTTAAACTCATAGTATTAAATGAGGAATAAATAGGTTTTTATCTAATCTAAACTACTGTTATTTGTTCTTCACAGCCGATAAGATTGTCACCTAGCTAAAAGAAAATTAAAAAAAAAAACTGAGATAGTAGAAAAAATTATCAAAGATTTGGACAGAACTAGATCTGTCCGAATCTTTTGGGGGGTAAAATATATTTGAGATAAAGAAATTTAAAGTGCATTGTTTAAAAACAATACTCATTAATTAATTTACTGTAATTCTGTAGCCTGTACCCTCAATTTCAAACATTGTAAGATGCCTTTGGATGCCAAAGAATTTCAACACCTTGCATCACTTTCTGAGTTAAGCCATGGGAAATTACTTTTTACTCAGAATAATTAGAACAAGAAATGGCAAAAATACTTGAGACTCCTTTGTCTCCATTCTTTTCCCCAAGTTTGTTTTAAAGATTAGAAGAGTACCACAATCCTAAGAATATTTTTTTCCCAGCAGCACATGACTGAATGTGCTGCTTCTAAGAGATCTGCAGCTATAGAATTGCCATTCTCTAGGCTTGGTAATTCTCTGTAAGTGATGACCATAAGATGACATTTGCCTCTGGGTGATTGATTACAAGTCCAATTTTGAATGGATCAGCTTAGTTTGTGATATAGTTAAGAACTGTTTGGTAGCCTGTAACAGAAACTATGACAAATGATAACTATAATAATAAACTGTAATGATATTTATTATTTCACTAAAACAAGAAGTCTAGAAGTGGGAAGTCCCAAGATTATGACTTCAAAGATATAATGACATCATCAAAGACCTAGGTATTTTCTATTCTTCTACTCTGCTAGTCTTAGCACAGTGCTTTCCAGCCCTCATGGGGACAAAATACTGACATAGTACCACACTCATATCCTTCTTCAATCCTAATCAGAAGCAGGAGGCTTGGGGACAAGGACAGGAAATAGCTTTTTCTTTGCATGCCTTTGTCCAAATCAAGGTGGAAAATCCTTGCCAAGAGTTCTTGAATATTTTGCTACTCAAATTGTGATTGTGAGAAAACAGCGTCACCTATTATCTGAAAACTTATTAAAATTCAATGTCCCAGATACTTCCCTGAGTACTAATTCATATTCAGCATTTTAACAAGATTTCCAAGTGACTCTTATGCACAATAACATTTGAAAAACTCTAATAATAGATGTTTTCCTTTGTATTTTTAGTCACAACTTGGTGGCAAGGCTATCCCACAGGTGGAAGGAAGATGGCAAAGTTGTTTTCTTTCTTAGCTTTTTTAGTGGAAACAGGCAAGGGTAAATGAGGTAGAGAATGGTTGTTGGGTGGGTAATCTCCAGAGTCTGCTATGGTATTTTTCTGTGGACAGAGTGGTACCAAACACCCTGCTCCCTGCAGTTAGTATTAACCACTGTGACTCTCTGAGTTCATACAGCCTATGAAAGCTGCCCAGAGGATGAAGCACTGACTTCGTGAGTAGTATTTTTAACAGCAGGTTGAGACTTTACCCATGTGATTTTGGAAAGGTTTCTTGTTTTTATAATCTTGAAGTTTGAGAACACCGTCTGACCCAGGGGAATTCAAAGAAAAAACATTAAAGCCAGTATAATTATTGAAGGGAAGGTGAAAATTGTAAAATAACAGGTTTCTTTTTAGTTCTCGGTATGAAGCATTTTCACTAGAAAAGCTAATAAATATATTCTCATGTAGACCATTTTCCTCTGCTATGCACTAGTTTTCCAGCCTTATTTTAAAAAGTTACTAAGAAGGTTGTTTAAAAGTGTGAAGTAACTGGCTTAGAGGATTTTAGACTAATTTTCAAAATAATAATTGCACTGTTTTAAAGTTGAACCATTAATAAACTAAGTCTTAAGTGTTTCATAAAGTGAAATTGTGACAATCTTTACAATCATAGAAAGCAATAAAATCCAAGGAGGGCAAAATGGCATATTGAAAAAAAAAAAAAGGGGGGGAAGGAAAGAAAAAATGTAGAGCACTTAAGCTTGGGGCAAAGATCTTGTAAGCTCCAATTTAAGCCAATATTGCTTTGACTTCCTGGTGATTATGTGATGATTTATGTGGGGGGGGGTGTAAATACATCTGCACTTTTATTTAGGAGCCTCCTACTGAGTGATCAGTCTTACTGGTTATTCAAGGACATTTTGAGATTCAATCTTAGACAACATTCTCATCTTTTCCCAATCAAAGCCTTATTTTGTTTCATCCTGGAAAACATTGGTTCCAATAAACCTATCTCATTGTTTCATTACCAATTTGATAGGATACCAACTGTTGCCTTACTAAATGATGTACCCTTGGGAGAAACTGACATATTTGCAGGGAAAAATCAGAGAAGCTGTTTCTATACAGAAATAGCTGCTTGACTTCAGGAATGCTGCAGACACACTCAATACTACGTCTTAAGTTGAAGTTGGAGATAATAGTGGTCATATGCAGGACAGTAAAATATTAGGAGACTAGTCACTCCTTACATTGTTTGGCATGTTTGGGGTGCACATAGTTCTCTTTGAATTGGCTGGGAGGCTCCTACAGAGATCTCCTGGCAGTCTGTGGCGCCCACTAAAACAACTGTGACTTTCAATAAAAATCCATGCCATGGGTGCCAAAGCAAACTTGTGAAAATTGTCCACTTTCAGGCAACCCGGACAAAAACCGTAGGAGGACTGGAGTCACTATTTAAAGGGTTCTGTAAGAGCCAAAAGAAATGTATTCCTGATTTATTCAAATACTGGTTCTTGCAAATGGCAAAGTTGCAATGAGCCAAATTTGTATTTCATACCTGAAGCCTGGATTGGGTTCAGCCTAATCTGGCCAGTGAAAACAATGAGGCTCCTTGGCCTTTTTTTTTTTTTTTCTTTTTTTCTGAGAAACTAAACAGAGATTTCAGAAATTTGGTGAAACTTGATCTTAAAATTAAAGATTTGGTGACTTGGGAAGAATCCTGTTTTTAGTTTTCAGATTGTGTTCTTTGAACTAAAGGAAAAACAATATTCTTAACAAAGTTTAAAAAAAAAGCTTGATTAAGAAACTAGAAACCTTAGGTAAACATATTTTATTTCTTTTTGGTATTTGAATTTCACATTCTCTTCAAATGTGAGTTACATCCATTCAGTTTGGTGATAAATCAGAATGTCACCACTTGACCTTGGCAAAGATACCTGGTAATGAGGATGAAAGGTGCATGGAACAATTTGTGTCTATCTGAGTCACTGAGTTTTCCTCCAACAGCACAAATGTGTCATCTGTTTTGTCATGTCTCATCTTGAGCAATAGAAGTTATGGTAGCCACAAAGAAGGATCAGAAGGGCACCAGCCTGAAGGTCAGAAGGCAATATTCAATATTCAAAATGATTTCAAAAATGCATGAATATTCTGGAAGGACACACAAGAAACTGGTAACAGTAGTTGCTGCTGGAGTAGGATTCTGGAATGGGAACCTGGTAAGTAGGAAAGAAAAGAGAATTCATTTTTTAATTATATATATGATTAAAATTTTATATATATATATATATATAATATAAAATGTATGTGCATGTAGATATATAGAAGAAAATAAAAAATTATTACAGAAGACAGAATGAGAAAAAACCTTTTAATTGACTCTAAACTGGGTGGATAATTTTCTCCCTTTAGACTTCAGTTGCCTCTTTTCTAAAATAAAATAGAATAGAGGTTAAACTGCAAATATAGCTAATATTTCTTAAAGCAGAGACTCTACAATTACAGAAATATTTTTTTAATTTTGAGTCTGATTTTGGAGAAATAATATATTATTAATGAATATCTTATTAATAATAACAATGGGAAGCATAAACTATCTTACTAACCACAAAGTTAAAAATCCAAACGTCAATGTTCTTAAAAGGGTCATTAGAGGAGTACAAGGGAAAGAAAAACGTTTCCTGGGGTAGAAGCTGTGGAGGACAAGAGAGCTGGGTATTCAGAGCCTGGGGGATATAACAAACAGGGCATATGGAAGGACAGAATCTCCACAAGATCAAGTTTTTCTGGCTGAAATCATCACTACACAGGAGCCTCTGCCAGACTTTGCTTTATCAAGGAGCTGCCTGACTATGCGAAACTACTCTTGACTGGCCCAGCTGACCTTGTCTTCTCATTTCCTATAATTTGGCTGTGACCTCACACCTCACAGTCTGCATTGCTCACACATCAGACATCGCCTAGCTTCATTCCTGCCCACTCTAATTCCATTTCAGCTGTTATGGGGAGGACTTGGCCTCAGTTCTGTCTCTGTACTTTCTCGGATTGACTTTTGTATTGCAAAATAATTTTACTTTTATTGAATGTCTGCAGCTCTGTTGCTTGAGGCAGGTGATGTTGAAATGAGCATGACCCTGAGGTGAGCCAGGCAGGCCCTTTGTTCATATTCAGAGGTGTCCTCACTGATTGGCTGTAGAAACAGGAGTCAGCTACATAAGAGAGAGCTACACTCTCTGTGCCTGGTGCTTCATTTGCAGTGGAGCCCATTAGTTATGCACCATGAGTTTGGAAAGAGCCTGTTCTTTTATTCTATTCTAGAAAGAAAACATCCCCACTCACAGCCCATTTTACACAGTGCAGACCACAAGGCTCAGCTCTGGCATTATGGACATCTTGAACCAGATAAACCGTTTCTTACAGGAAGCCAAGCATCCTTGGCTTCTACCCATAGAAGCAGTACTCCTTTCCCCATATGTGATAATCAAAAATGTCTCTGGCATCACCAGATATCCCTGAAGGTGAAGAAATCACCACCAGACTAAAACAACAGCCTGGGAGGATGAGTTTCCTGTAAAGTTTCATTTTGACTCATAAGAAGTCAGACAAGGGTGGGTGTCTGGACAATATTGTCTTTTCCTGGCATCTTTATCTCTTCCCATGTGCCCTCAATTGGGTCTCATTAGACAGCTGGCTAAGGCCAGGGGGATATGGTGCCAGTCTCCACACAAGTCAGCTTCAGGCTTTTAGAGTTGAAGGCGATTTTCTGCAAGCTTTTTCTTGCTCTTCTAGACCATCTCTTTGTAAAACCTTCACATGTTATTATTACTCTAACCAACTTTCTATCTTAGCAAAGATCTTCATGAAATCAGGAAAATTCCACCCCCACAGGAGATCCCAATCACCTGGCACAAGACTGGCATAAAATGAGAAAAAAACTCTTTTCTTTTTTCTCTAGGCCTGAAAGTACAATGCTCTCCACAAACGAGCTGTAACTCTCCCAACTCACCCAAGATGGAAAAAGGCAGTTTCCACACCAGGAACTGTGACTGTGACGACTACAACTTATGTTTTGGACACTGGACATATTCATACTTATTAGGTCTTGAATTTAGCCTGAGGAATTTTAGCTCCACCCCCTCAAAATAAATGGAGTGGTTAATGGAGGACAGCATTTCTAGTGGGTGGAGGACAACAGTATTAAATATTGCAAAGTTATTATGTGTTGAAAACTAGGAAGAACTCCTGATTGGGAAGTGGATTGGGAAATCACTGCTGATATTCTAAGAAGATATTTCAGTGAGAGAAGGGGATCCTAACTAGATGATGGGGGAGAGTGGTGGCTAAAATGAAAGGAGATATGGGAGGAAAGAGTCAGTGGCTTAGACCACCCTTACTCAAGAAGGCAGTGCGAGTGACAACAAATGCAATTTTTTTTTTTTTTAAAGAGGGAGAACACTTGAGTCTGTTTGAAGATTAAGAGGATGAAGCCAGTGTAACAGAGAAATTAAAAGTGTTAGAGAGGAGGGGCTAATTGGGAAAGGAGGTCACCAGAAGAAAGAAACATTCTTTTCTCTGAGGATGGTAGAAAATATAAGCATATAAAGGAATTCCCTGATAACTTACTGTCTTCAATTAAGAAATTGAAACGTCTTTCATAAAATGCACATGAGAAGGCAAAATATCAGACTGTTATCAGCCACAAACACTCTAATTTAAACCAGCTTTAGAATTCTTCGGGTAATAAACTAGTCACTAAGTATTTATTAAATATTTATGTTCACATGCCATAAAGCTTCAGACGTATGCCAAATCTCTGAAAAGAGAGGCAAAATTATTTCAAAATGTTTATATTACATTATGTAGAAAACATTAAGTGCTAATCTAGGCTTAATATTTTATGACTTTTGTCGTCTTCCACCAACTGGTCACCATTATCTCTTTTAACAAAAATATATATATATATTCAGTTTAATGGGCAAATACTAACTAGGCATCTAATATATTCAAATGTTATATTCAGCCCTGATTTTAGGGTGTTGGGAAAAAAGGTGGACAACTGTGCCAGAATTGTCATGAGTTGTTCAGATTCATAGCAAATGTTTAAAAACTAGAATCTCAGGTCCTTGAAATTGGAAGTTTTAAAACACAGTATATGCAAAATATTTTCATATTAGTGGAATACTGAAGAAATATCCCCTATCCAAAAGAAGGGAGTTCAAAAGAAAGAACTCCTTCTATTTGACCTGTTAAAATTTTAGTTATGAAAAAGATAAAAGCAAGGGAGTCCTTTGACAAGTCTAAATTTAAATCTGTGCCATGTAAACAAATAGCTTAACATCTTCTACTTAGCTGCCTCGTCAATTTTAAAAAGTCAAACCAATAATCTCTTTCTTCATAAGGATAACTGGCTGGACCAAATGCTATTTTGAAGTATATTTTGAGTTCAAAAATTATATAAAAATTTCAAGAGTTTTATCTCTATGATAAAATTGCTCAAATGCATAGAAAATATAATATATCTATTTCCTATTTTCAAACAAGTATATCTTCCTTTTGAACACAGTTAAGGAAGAATTTGCTGAAATTTTTTTGTTGGAATAACTTGGGAAGGGTTACCATGGTTTCTGTGGCCTCTTGGTCACTTTTTCTCTACATCATCAAAATATGAGATCATTTCATGCCATCTTTGTCAACTCTTCTGATTTATGTCCCTTGGCATTTCTACAAGGGCTGTTAAAACTGGTTTGGGGTGGTGTGATATAATCTTAGATATTACATTGACCTATGGCCCACTAAAGGGACACAGTATTTCAGCACATAGAAGATTTATCTGTAGTATTAAAATTACATGACAGGAGCAGGAAGATTAGGAACCCACTGCCAAAAAAAAAAAAAAAAAACCTAAAATGTTTTGGCAAAGATGTGGATCAATAATCACAAACAAGGGTTGAGAAACACTGCCCTAGGGCAGAGTTGTTGAGGCCTTAGGATCTGTTGGATAGAAATCTGATGCATCAAATATATAATTTTAAAAAAAATTTTAAAGGTTTATATTTAAAGTATATCTTCTCCCTAATCTGCAATAGGATATTGTTGCAATGTTTTAAATTTAGACATTTTCAAATTCAATGTAGTATGTAAAAATTATTTTATGCAAAGGGCGCTTGTGACAAAAAAAAATATTTTTAGAAAATAATCCTTTATTTTGAGGCCAGACATTTCTCTATGGCAATCTGGCAGCAAGATCTTTCAGGAGACCATGGAAGAAAAGCCGTTGGGCACCAGAGAGACATAACATTCCATCTCAGATTTGCTTTGAATTAGTCTTGCAATAGGGAGCAAGTCCCTCAGTTCCCCATGGCCTCAGTTTCCTCCATCTATCAAATGAGGGTACTAAAACTTAACCTTTTAAGTTACTCAGTTTCTGAGCTAAGTGATAAGGACTGAAATAAGCAGTAATAATTGGATAGAAGAGAACAAGGTATTGGTGGACTTATTTACCGGACTTCACAAGCATCCTGTTTGGGTTCCTACTGCTGCCTCAAAAAATGTAGCTCATGCTAAGGTTAAATAAACTCAATAAACTCCAATGAATTGTCAGTAGCTTGTGGAGTAAGATTCAGGTTTGCATCAATGAAAAGACGTGAGGATAGTCAGAAATACAAGCAAGGAAAAGCCTTTCTCCTGCTCCATAAAAATCACTATGATTTATTCATTTAATGAAAAAGTCAGAATCGCCATGATTTCTTCATTTAATGAAAAAGTCAGGGGCTTGTGTGGGCACAACAGCTGTCGTTTTATGAAGGGAAAATAAGCCCTTTGTAAAATTCCTTGTGGCAGAGCTGCTGCCACAAGGGGTCAGATCTGGATTATTGTAGATGCTGGCATCATTCCACACTGACGCATTCATGATTGGGTATCACATCATTTGAGATAACTTGCAAGTCTTTTAGGTGAGAAAATCTTATGCTATAGCAAATCAGACCAGCTCTGTTTAAGTAAAAGCTTCACTGTCTTTGATCTAAACTACAGTGTTTGGAGCCAGGACAGAAGAAGGAACATGGTTATCTTGAAATGTATTTGGGTTTCTGGTTGCCCACTCAACAGATGTGAGCAGTTTAGTTGTCACCATAAATCAAGGGCTCCCCCCACTCCAATGTTATAAATAAGGATGGGTAAATATTTTGGATTCATCAGCCTCCAAGTATTCTTCAGATGTTTTGGGTTCAATCAAACAGAACACATCTTGCGAAGCACATTTCCCTTGATTTTTTAGGACTGTATGTGATTTATGGGAAATAGAATCCATATGTTTCTGCTTCATTTACACTTAAATAATCAAAAGGTTGTGTGTCGTAAGAGCTATCTGATGTCCAAGATGCCTTCTGCGTACATTTGTGTTTTTTTCCCCCTCAAACAAATATAAACAGCTTAAAAGCTTTGGTCCTTTTAAAAGACCAAAGCAAAAGAAAGAAAATGGGGGAAGGGAGAGAACCTAAGAAGGTCCGTCTTGCCAAAATGCAATAAATCTGAACACCAGGAAGTTCAATTTAGGCCGAAACTACAAACCCTTGAATTTCAAGTGAGTCCAGGATTTGGGAGAAAACAAAGGTTTCTTTCCATTCAGTTTCAAAAGTAACTCTGACGAATGCAGAAAAGCAGCTGGCAACTTGGTAACCATACCAAGAGAAGACAGGCCATGAATGCACCATTAGCCTCCCAGAGAACAACTGCTGCAGGCTGTTATTCTTGGGCCTTTTGAGAGTAGTTGCTCCAGTCTGGATAAAGAACACTTTACCCTCTTTTACCGTGGAAATATCTTCTCTCGCGATGTTTCCTGGGATAGTCCTCTTGCCCTAGGCCAGCATTTCCTGTCCTTCTGCCATCTGGTCCAAATGGTCTGCCATTGAACTGACTTACTGTGTGTGCATTTGGGATGGTGTTTATTTATGGGGCAATTTCATTAGAGAAATGTCTCATTGAGTTCTTAAGAGAGCCAAGAAAGCATGCGGTTTGGGTAATGTGAGAAATATGCTAACCAGGGACCCACAGATTAGGAAGATGCCAAATGTAAAGTTAAGTGGTTCCCCCGCCCCATGTCAATATTTAGTCACCAATATCACAGCAGCTCTTATGTCATTTTAGGCACGGGTTATCCTCTATGTGATAGCCTATGAATGGTTTCAGAAGAAAATCATTCAAATTAGAAATACTTCATGTGATAGTGCATGATTGAGTTATGTTTAAATCTCTATAGAGTATATTTCTATTCATTTTTACAGAAATATAGCAACCTAGGATATGAAACTTCATCATCCTGAGGGATCTTCACACTATGTGCCCTGAAATCACTTTGACAGAATTAAGAGTCCTGTGAATTACCCTACATGCCCTAATTCAGTTCTGTAGGGGACAAAGGGCAGGGTTTGGGAATACGAGATGAAGGGTTTTATACCCTCACTCCTAACCCTAAAAAAAGATCAAATTTTATAATAATATATTCCTTATTTTTGTGACACATAGGTAACCACTGTGAAAATTTTGGTTTATGTACTTTGAGTTAAGTATGTGCATGAACATGCACACACACACACATACACACACACACATACACACATGCTTGAACACACATGGAGTTTAATGAGATCATACGATTTATTATGTTTTGTAGGGTCTATTTAGCTATATATCAAGAACCTTTTCCTGTATTTATAAACTGTTTTATTTCCTGAGTGTTAATGAGGAGGGCATTTCAGTATGGGATTGTACAACAATTATCTTAGTATCTCAGAGTATTTTTAACATGAAATTTAAAAAAATCATTATTTCAAATGTACTTTTAAATGTTGGCCTTAGTTTTCACAAAATTTTTTGTACCATAGGACATGTTAAATAAACTAAGCATAGCTTCTACATCTGTTAGTTCCTTGAATTTTAGACCAAAGGATAGAACAACACCCTTTGAGAATCATATGGAATATCCTTGATCCAGTTCTAGAAGAGACTAAATTCTTTTATGCAGAAAATAATTTTTAAAGTCCATAGAAAAGAAGATCAATAATATAATCAATTATTTTTGTTCTCTCTCTTCCTTAAAAAAAAAAATTGTATTTCTGCCCCATTTCTACACCAGGAAGAACCTTGTGACTTAAATTCTTCTGCCTCTGGATGCTGACTCCATTGCTAAAATTCCTGGAGTCAACTTCCAAGAAAACTGAAGTCCATACCTATTTCCTTGTCTGTTTCTGATACCTTTGCTCCCTGTTTTGGATTTTCCCGATTGGTTGCTAGAAAACTTAGCCTTGTCCCTTTTGTTGACAGGTTGCCAGGATACATCCAAGCGACAAAGGCTGGGGTTCCTATTACCCAACAGCTTCACATACTAATGCGAAGTCCCACAAGAGGGGATGTGAACTTTGGAGCTCCCAGCTTTTCTGCTTCTGTTTCTACCAGCCCTCTCCCTGAGTCCTCAGAGGGGCTTGGCATGCTATTAGAAAAGTCAAAAAAAGACAGATAAAGAACAAATATTACAAGGTAAGACTCTCAAAAGGTGTTTTACTCTTGTCTCAAAGTTTTTCTCTCACTTAATAACTGCGTATTTTAGACATTCTTGGTATCTTCCCCTTCCTTTCCATCAGTATGCAATAAATGTTCCCTAACTATAGGAAAGGTAACCAAAGAAAAATAATTAGTCCTTAAATACTCATAAACAAAACAATATCATTTTACTTCTTTAGATAATACCGGCAATGATGAGTTAAATATTCTAACAGTTAAAAGATAATCAAATTCCATTTTTAAGGGATGATATTTTAAACAATTTTCTTTTAAGGAAAAGTAAATATGCTTTAAACATTCATTCAGTAGCATATGTTTATTAGTTAGATTATCCATGAAAAGAAAGGAGTGATAAAAACTATAGTTACTCAATTGAGTTGGCTGATTTTTTAAAATTATTTGAGATGAGATCTACATGAAGTAAAATATAATGAATCTTCTATTAGACGCAGAGTCTCTAGTTTAATTCCTAGGTCCTTGAAACTTGAATTCTTTAAATTGAAGTTCCTGAAAAGCAATGACTTTAACAAATATATACAACCCCTGTAACCTTCATCTCAATAAAGGAACAGGATACTTCTGTCACTCCATAAATTTTCCTCATATTCTTTCTGGTCAATCTTCCCTCTAATGTTCTGGTTCCTGTCATCAAAAAAACAGTTTGACCATTTATGAACTTTATGTGAATAGAATCATACAATCTATATTCTTGTATATGACATCTTTGACTAAAAAGAAGGTTTTTAAGGTTGTTCCATGGCTCAGTTCTTTTTGCAGGTGAGTATAATTGCATTATATGATCATTTCACATTTGTTTATCTATTCTATTGATTTGTATTTGGTTTGTTTTCAGTTTGACCTTCTTATAATAACTGCTATCAACATTCTTGCATTAGTCTTTTTTAACCATCAATTTAAGTTAAAAAATTTCCAGCTTTATTGCACTTTTATTGTCAAAAATACACATATTTGGAAAATACAGTGAAATGTTTTATTTATGCATTGTGAATTCATCACCACAACTAAGTTGATTAAAGTATCCATCTCATATAGTTAACTTTTTTCTTTTCCTTTTTTTTTCTTGTTTTTGGGGATGTGAGTGATGAGAACACTTGTGATCCACTATCTTAGCAAATTTCAAAAATAGAACACATTATTATTAACCATAGGCACTATGTTCCACATTACGTCTCCAGTAATTGTTTACCTTATAGCTGAAAGTATGTACTCTTTGACGAATGTTTTACCTTTACCCTTAGACCCTAGTTACCACCATTTTACTCAAATGACCAACAGGTATATAAAACATGTTCGGCACCACTAATCATCAAGAAGTGCAAATCAGAACCACAATGAGATATCAGTTTACATCTGTTAAAACGGCAATTATCAAATGATCAAAAAAATAAAAAAATAAAAACAAGAATCAGCAAGAATGAGGAAAGGGAACCCCTGCACACCAATTGGTGAAAAAATAAATTAGAACATCTATTATGGAAACAATATGGAGTTTCTTCAGGAAATTAAAACTACCATGTGATTCACCGATCACTCTTCTGGTATATATCCAAAGGCAATGGAATCAGTATGTTGCAGAGATATCTGCATGACCATGTTCAAGCATTATTCAATAACCAAGATAAGAAACCAAACTAAGTGTCCATCAATAGATTAACTGGATAAAAAATTGTAAAGCACACATACACATATAGTATAATTCTGTTATATATATATATATATATATATATACATAGCTTTTGTCATTTTAAATGCCTTTTCTTCTTTGCATGTCACCTCTTTAGATTTTTAATTAACATACAAGATGCTTCCATCTTAAGTATAAAATTTTATGAGTTTAACAAACGAATAGCTTTATTTAGTTAACAAAGATGTCAAGAGCATATACACTAACTGATATTCAGTTCTCCACCTTCACACCTAACTACCAGGCAATCACTGACCTACTTCGGACACTACAGATTCTCTTTGCCTATTCTACAGTTTAATATAAAGGGACCCTTGTTCAGTATATACACTTTTGTGTCTGACATTATCAGCATCACATTCCTGGGAGGACCCATGTTGCTGTGTGTATTAGTACTTGGTTTATTTTTAGTGTGGAGGAATACTTTATGTATGAATATGCCACATTTTTAACATCTGTGTACCTGTTGATGTTGATGTATATTTATGTTGTTTCTAACTTTTTATTAATTATTATGAGTAAAGTTGGCATAAACATTTGTTTGCAAAGTAGCTGTAACATTTTACATTCCCAGGAATGTGTACGTTTTAATTTTTCCATGCTGTCAATCTTTTTAACTTTAGCCATTCTAATGTGTATATCTAGAAATATCTCTGTAGTTTTGTTTACATTTAAAAGTAAGGTTGAGTATTATTTTATAAGCTTATATACTTTTTTTTTTCTTTTTTGAGGTACTGGGGACTGAACCCAGGGCCTCATTTATGTTAGGCAAGCACTCTAACAGAGCTACATACCCAGGCTCTTAACAATCCATTTTTTTTTTATTTTCAAAAATCTACTCAAAGATTTTGCTTATATTTAAAATTTGGATTGTTTGGTGTGTGTTGTGTGTGTGTGTGTATAATATTCATTTTAGATATATATCTTAAAATCTTGGCTTGTACTGCTCTTTAAAAATCACTTAATGGTGATTTTTAAAGAGCAGAATTTTCTAATATAGAGAGTATAATTTCTTACATTTTTTCTTTTATATTTAGTGATTTTTGTGTTTTTTTAAGAAATATTTGCAAACATTAAGATCATAAAGATATTCTTTTATGTCTTCTTCTAGACACTTTTTAGGTTTAGCTTTTGTATGTAGCTGCATGATCTATTTTGAGTTAATTTTTGTGTAGTGAAAGTAGGGAGTTGACATTAATTTTCCCCTCACATGTATCTAGTTATTTCACTGTCATTTGTTATAAAGATTTCATTTTCTTCATTGAGTTGTCTTTGCATCTTTGTCAAAAAATGAATTGACTAATATGTGAATTGACAATATATTCACAGACTCTCTATTCTGTTCCATGGGTCTCTGTTTATCCTTTTTGGCATAATTTAATTTTAATAAGCTAACATATCTTGGCTTGTAGGTAGTGAAGCAACTATTCAAAACAAATGAAGAAGTTGACTCCTTCCATGACTACTTGCCAGTGAACTATACACAAAAATTTGAATCAGGTTGAACATTCTTTCTTGCATGTTGCCCAAATATTTCCCTAGGCAGTAACCTGATTTTAAGTGATTCTATATTAAGTAAAAGCCAAAAATATGCTTATAAATTTATTCAAGAATCATAATCCCAGTAAAAATATGGATTTTTCAAGTCCATTTAGGCAGAATGTCTTGAACTTAATTTTCATTTATTTATTTATTCAGTAATTCATTGAGTAGCTATGGGATTCCAGACATTGCTCTAGACAGGGAAAAAGAGGAGCAGAATATTTTTGGTTCAAAATCTCTGCAAGCAAATATTATTTATTATATTCACCCTGTTGCATATTTAATAATGTATTTTTTATAATTGCAGAGAAAAATCTAAACGTAGTTTTTAAAGTATCAGATTAAGTATTTTCACATATTACCATCAACTGAGAGAAAATTATCAACACTTGAATGTTTCCTAGGGAAAATATTTCCTACCTCTTCCCAGTTTTGCTATCACTGCCATAAAATATCCATTTCTTTTGAATATGAGTGTGTGAAACATCATTTTAATCAATTGTATTTTCCACCTTATTCTATTTTATTTTATTTACATTTAAATAAGTATGTAATATTAATAATTTAAATAAGTATGTAATATTAAGTCCAAATTATTTTCCTGAATTCTCTGGTAAATAAATCATTTTCAGGAGTATATAAAATTCTAAGAAATGAGTTGTAAATAGTGAAGAATGTGTACAATTTCTCTTCCTGAGAGAGCAGTGATGATTCCCGTGGAGTCTTGAAAACAGAGATGCATTTTGCAAACAGCAATAGGAATATACCATGTTGGGAGCAGAGGAGGAGGAGAAAGTAAAGGAGGCAGGTTACTAATGGGTGAAAAGTGATGACAAGCAGAAAATAGAATGTCTAGGGTGCCTAGTGTCCCACTGCAGCTGCGGCTGAGCATTTATTTGAGAAAAGATTAAGAGGAACTTTAGAAGTTGTGTGCAAGAAAAACTTGGTAGGGTTCTGGTTTCATTGAGTGTTTTTTAAAAATTCACATTGATTAATAATTAGACATTTCACTACTAAAATGGAGTTCATTTGTATGTTCTCATGCAAGGTCTGGAAATTTACATATATCCATGTATGTATAAATTTATACTTACAGTAAAAGTAGTAAATAATTCAGGCCTCATAGGCCATACACTCTGTTATTGTAGGGCAAAAGCAGCCAGAGACAAATACACCAATAAGCAAGTAATTACGACTGTGCTCCAATAATACTTTACTCACTTACATAAATAGGAAGACAGTTGGCCAGTTTGGGCTTATGGTCCATAGTTTGTCAGTTCTTGTTCTAATGTTCAAGACAATCTGATAATAAAATATCTTACAAAAATCATATATTAATATTTAGAGGCCTCTCTGTCATCTAAATACCTAGTGTTTTGGGTGGAAGGTGGTCTCCAGAAGAGAAATGGTTTCCAAGGAGAATTAAGCTTTGAAAATTATCAGCACTTAGAATGCTGTGTCAAGAGAGATAATGTATGAATAAACTCATCACAGGGAGCCAAACTCTATGATTCTCCTTTGTTTTCTACCTATTTGTGAAGCACCCCTGGTGCATGTGAGTATCTAGTCATATGGCCACCTGTAGTATGCCTGTCTGACTTCATTCTTTTTTTTTATTGGTTGTTCAAAACATTACAAAGCTCTTGACATATCATATTTCGTACTTTAGATTGAAGTGGTTTATGAACTCCCATTTTTTCCCCAAATACAGATTGCAGAATCACATCTG